CTTAATGGAGTTCGTGATTTAAGACAATAACGCCAGTGGTTATATATATATATATATATATATATATATATATATATATATATATATATATTAAATTGGGGCAGGCTTTTTTTCTAGGTATACATGACCATCAATTCCCTGGCCTGATATAACCTTATTGATTTAACTTTTGGAGCAGGACTTTGTTCAGAATATATTTTAGAAGGTATCTAATGAGAAAGCTGATATGTTGTAGAATTGGCATGTAAAGTTTTAGCTCTTTATAATATTTAAAGATAGAATATTAATTTTGCTTGTGCCTAAAATTTCTATTATAAATCAAGGAGCAAGGAGGACATGAAGACACATGTGACGTGGCTTGATGTCTGCATAAATTTACTGTTTTACTTTTGATATTGAATAATATATGAGTTTGGGAGTCTGTCACCCCTGATCACCATAGCACTAACTCTCCAAATGGCTATGGACATTTTTGGTCCCACCTCCAAACCCAGCATTGTTTGCAAAGGACCATCTATATGGCCTAATGGTGTATTGATCACTCAAGAAATAACACTTTATTTTCATAGTGTAAAGGAAATAAATTCATATTATGAAAAGAGAAAGTGGGAACCATTAAATATGAAAACATATTCCATTACTCCACCTTCCTTGCTTCTTTGTTGATTGCCTTGTAAAAGCACCCACTACCCATGCCATTCCTCAGGACAACTTGTTCAAAAACTGTAACCTTCCAGACTTAGCTCAAGTACTAAGATTTCCATACAGCCTTTCCATTTATAAGAGGAAGTAAACCAGAGATAAGGGAGTAATCAGGAAGCCATTGCAATGGCCCAAGGGAGATAATGAAGCTCAATTTACATAGCAGGCTTGTGTTGGGAAGGAAGCATTTCAGAGAGGTTGCAGAGGTTACTATAGTTGGGAGGAAAAGGAGGAGTAATGGGTGAGAAGAATTCACGACTATCTCCACAGTTGAAATAAAGCAACATATATAATAAGCAATAATACATAAACAAGCTCATTTTTGTTGTTGTTGCTCAGGTGACTTAATTCACTGACAAAATTCTCCCCAGGCTGTATGACTGTTGCTTGGATTTGTTAAGTTCCTGTGCTAAGCTTCTCATACCAGCCCTGCATTTGAACCTGACCCTGGGATTCCTACTGGCCCCTAATCAATTATCATTTCTTGATGTTCTGATGCCTGCTAGTCCTGTACTATTCCCCTGGTTTTCTTCCTTTGAAAGTGCTGAGATGTTTGTCTTAAAGAAGGGCTTTAAGAGTGCGGTATGTTTTCAGTGATGTGTAGTATGAGCCCCGGTAGGAGCAAGAATGCACTATGCTTGAGGAACTTTCTTTCCATTCTCAATACCTCCCTAAAAGCCATGGTTAAAGTTTTTGTCCATGTAAAAAGGGAACATTCGGGCACCTTTACTGTCCTGTTGATGTGCAGGGCTATTTTTAATTTTTGTTCTTCGCTCTTTTTCTGTGCTTGTGATTTTAAAGGTGCCAGACTGACTGCCCTCGAGCCTAGTGTCCCTGATTTCTCCCAAGAATAGGAAAAATACTGAAGGCAGCAGAGCTGGTCATGTCTGGGGCCAGCATATTTGCCTGACCCACTCTGGAAGAATATTCTCCAAAATATAAAGGAAAAGATTGTTCCTTATGAATTCAGCCCATCGGCTTTCATCGCTGAGAAGACAAAACCTCATTATGCCAGCACCAAATCACTGCAGAATTTTTGGGTTCAATAAGCATTTGGTTTTTGTGTGGTAGTTTTCTCTTCCATTCCCACCTGTCAACATTCCATCCTTTAAGGTTGGGCTCAATTACTTCTTTCCCCACTAAAACTTTTCTGAACCTTCTCAGATGTGATTTTCCTCCCACATTCCACTGCACTTTCCCATGTAACACTTTCTCATGTGATTGTGGAATCTATATAGTCCCCTAATGACTGTAAAAGGTACTGATATTGTCTGATCCACTGTTTTATGTCACAGGGAAGCCAAATATAGTACTGGACAAAGAGTAGATACCTGGGGAATGTCTTGAATAGAATGAGAATTCCAGCATTTACTTTGCAGCCGGTCCTTCAAGGCTCTGCTCTGATCTTCCCATCTAATCAGTGAAATATCCCCCAGGTTCTCAGACTCTCTGTCAGCCTTGTAGGCCCAGACTCTTGGACTCCAGATATTACCCTTTGGGCGGTTGTGGTCTAGATCATAATTGCTACCCCTACCTGCCTTGTAGACCAGCATGACCAACAGTTGATAACATCTGATTGAAAGCATTTTTTTCCACCAGAGATCATTAGTAGTCCCTGATGGATTATCAGGGAATCCAGTTTGATGTCTAAAAGGGAATTAATTAAAAATAATTTGTTTGACCTGCACTTAACTACTTTAAAATTTGTTAAATTTGAAATAATTTTCTCAGGAATTCAACTTACTCTTTTTTAAATTTATTTTTATTGTGGAGGGTATTACAAATGTCTCCCATTTTTCCACCCTTTGCCCTACTCCACCCAGCTCCTGCTCCACCCCTGGCCTTAACTGCACTATTGTCTTTGTGCATGGGCTATGCATATATGCATATAAGTTCTTTTAATACTCATCACATTATAAAAATATCGCATGCGCCACAAAACCTCTGTTGAATTGTTTTAAATCAATGTTTAGTAATAGTGCCATTCAGCCCAGAATATTTTCATGTCATTAGTATGATTTTTTTCTGCTGATGTTTAAGCTACATTTTTCATTATTTACTGTTGTATTGCTTTATTTCTTCAGATCAACCAAAGGAGGTCAGTGATTTAAGTATGATTCATTGAAGGTGGAAAAAATAGTAATAAAGATAATACCATAAATACTACTTCAGATTAATATTACAATGTAAATTTTAGTGAACAGGCTTCCAACATATATAGAAAAAGAATCAGTATATGCTGGGATGAATGTGATCTTTCCGCACAAGCAGTTGAAAAAGAAGAGTTTAAGCACTAAGTCTAATGATGACTTTTTAAAAATTTGATGTTATGGATTGCCTGTTATCCTCAATATGTTTTCTGTAATGAAATGTTGTCAGATAATACCATGAAGTTCTCAGAATTTTAGCATCTTTTTCAAACATAGCTCAGTGAACTTTCTAGTAAACCAATTAAGTGTTTTGTTCTGAATAATCACAAAAAATAGTGCTATTTTAAATAACCTGCTTTGGTTACTAAAGTCAATGAACATCCATAATGTTAAACATGCCCGTCTAAGGTTATACATTTTTATAATAAAAATAGGTACAAGTTAACTCTTCAACAGAAGTTTGAAAATAAAGCCACACCTTTTGACAAATGTCAATAATATATTGACTTTATAATATGTCAATTATAGTGGATATGACTTAGCTGTCAAGGGTTTAACTATTCTTCAAACACTTGATATTTTTTATTTTCTAGGAGGGAGATAATGGACTATACTGTAAAGACATTCAAATCCTGCAACAGAATATAAAGAAATTTTTTACAGGGCCAAATGCAACTAGAGAGGATTAGAAATATATTCTCCTCTTTTCTCCAAGTTGAAACATTTAGCCCTCCTATTTTTAGGTGTGAAATGGTTGTCAATCCAATGTGACGGAGTGCTGAAAGCAGTCTTCATTCAGTGAGAAATTTCTCCATAATGTCAGATCTGTGTTCCATCTTGATTCATAGAACCAGGCAGAAGCAAGATTACATAGTGGTTAACACCATAAGGACTGAAACTAAACTGCTTGAGTTTGAAGTTAGTTAACCATTTTGTGACTAAGTTTCCTCATCTGTAAAATGGGAATAATAACTGTCCCTATCACATAGGTTGTTGTGAATATGAAAGGATTTAACATATAAAAAGCACCTAGAAAATGCCTGACACATATGAAGCACTAGATTTGCTATAGCTTACCTATAAATGCCTGCAGATCCTTGCAGACATCCCCAGTGACCTGTAATTACTTAGAAGAAATAAAGAATGAGATGGGAACCTGGATGTGGATCTGACCTCTGACAAGATTCCCACGATGGAGCCAGATACAGAGACAGATTGCAACCAGCAAAATGTCTCTCACTGACATAAATATTTCTCTGAAATGATGTTTTATTGTTATTTAAGAATTAATGTGAATATTTTAAAGCTAAACCTGATGTGCATCTGTGGTCCAGATGCCCCATGCATCCATTTAAGAATGCTGGAAATTTGCAGAACCCTGGGTCATGAGGTACCCAAGCCCTGCAGTGTGTGGAACTGTTGCAGGATTTAAGGATGTTCAACCCAAGAACAGACTTGGAGGCAACACTAACTGAAGTGTAATATTTTAAAGAGTGTCAAGTATAAGAGAGGAGAGTTGTTTCATGAATCCCCTGAAGACAGAACTGGAACTACTGGGTAGCCATTTGAGTGAGCAAGCATTCCAGCTCAACATGAGAAAGAACTTTCTGGCAGTCAGAGCTGTCTGGAAATGAAAGGGCCTGGCTTTTGACCTGCCTGTCACCAAGAGCTAGATGCAAAGGTTTTACAACCAGGGCTTTAGTGAAAAGAGTTGAAGTTTGTTTTTGGACCCCATTTCCTCCCAGTCTAACCAGACAAGCAGACTCCCTGAGAAGAAAGACTTTTCTAGTCAATCCCACCTATTCCTACCATCCCGAGAGCCATTGTCCTTAGACTCCCATGTGAGAGTAGAGTCAGGGCACTGGCCTCGACTTGAGTTCCACTCTGTCATTTTCTGCGGGCTCTTTGGCTGAGACAGTCAACTCCTCAATTTTATAGGAGGATGTAAAATCCCCATCCTGCTGGCCTTACAGGGCATAGTGGTGACTGTCCTGGTGATCTTGCTCATGGCGGTGATGGCGATAGTGGTGGTCTCATTGCTGTTGCTGCAGACATTATGAAGCTGCTGTCTTTCCCGTGTTGGTTTCTATCCCAAGACTGAAGTGTTCCTCTGTGTGTTCTTAACAGTCAATCCCTTCTCTCTTTCAGGCCGCTGTGCTCGCTGTGGGGAAAATGTCATTGGGGAAGGGACAGGATGCACTGCCATGGACCAGGTCTTCCATGTGGATTGTTTCACGTGCATCATCTGCAACAACAAGCTCCGAGGGCAGCCCTTCTACGCCATGGAGAAGAAAGCCTACTGTGAGCCCTGCTACATTGTAAGTTCAGAATTGATCCTCGGATACTTTGCAAAGATATCTTCTTTGACAAAGTGCCATTCACTTCAGATAGAATGTTGCCATCAGATCTTGACTTCGCCCAGACTTCACAATATGTGTGCATGTAAATTGGCATATCTTAATTTTTCCCATGTGTTCATGTGGAAAAGGTGTGTTGGGATGGGGCTGCCATTCATTTAGTGGTCTGCTGGGAAGATCATCACCGTGTGGATTTCAAGCTTGTATGTGCTAGCTATCATGATATCCCTTGTAGCATCGGAGAGTTTCCCAAGTGGCAACATTACACCCTCCTTATTAGGTGTCACCCTGAATTGTCAGTATTTGTTGAGAAGTGTTATAGGGCCTCTGGACTTGTCAATGCACTTTTAAATTCCTGGGTCCTTTGGATCACCTCTTTTCTACCCTGAAGATTTCTTACCTATCATCCCCAGAGGTTTTCAATGATGCCCACTGAGAAACGCTTTATTATAGCGCACCTTAAAGGAACATGAATAGTAATGCTGACTGAGCTAACAATTGTTGATGTTGTCTTTTTGAAGAACATGACAACTATACTTTAATCACATCGATGGGTGACTAACAAACACTCGTAGTCACATTATCTTAGTTTTGGGCCAGGCTATTCACATGTATACATTAAGCAATCATATGATACAGCAATTTAATGGGTGAACAGATTTTTTTTAACCTAAAGAAAATGTCTTTGTTATCCTTCTGCATGATTTGAATGTGTCTGCTGAACACTTGTTAGTGGAAAAAGTAGTGCTTTTTGCAAACCCCCAAAAAAGCCATGGTTTGGCCCTCAGTGCCCAAGAATGTCAACATAAAGGGAGCTTTTGGTGCAAGACAATGCGAGTTATAAATAGCTTTGCAGATCCCCACGTTTCAAGTTGATTGCAGAAGAACCTGGCTCGTTGGCACTTTCCCATAACCTGACAGCTCTAACTCATTACAGCCCTGGAGTCTGTAGCACAGATCTAAAGATTCTTCGAGTTAAAGATCTTACAAGATTTAATATTGTTTTGCATTTTTAGGTTCAATTTTATTTCCTTTTTCTTCCCAAAGACAACTTAAACACACATATAGCATCATTATAGTGCCACGCAATTTTGGAGCTGGAAAAAACAAACAAACTTTGAAGATCATTAGTCTAACTCCTCTCTTTAGAAGTGAGAACACAGAGAAGCAGAGAAGAATAAAGTGACTTCTTCTATCATTAGTGTCCAAGCCAGGGCTATATTCAGTTGTTGGCATCCCTAGTCCCGTGTTTTTTGTTTGTATGTTTGTTTATTTTTACAGGCGTCACACTATTTTAGTTTGTCCAGAACATAAACACCAACACAGTAAGGTCCTGTTGATCTGCAAGGAGCAATTGCATATCAGAGGAAGTGAGTGAACAAAAGCTTACCTCTGTAGTAAATGAGAATATTTCAAATATCACCCTTTGAATTCTGTGTTGACAAAAGAAAATTACAAATCCCCTGCCTTTGTCATTAGATTGTGCAGACTGTCATTCGCAATGACATTCACATAGGACCACCATTATGAAATATGCTAGTCATAGTGAGCTCTGACAGTGACGTCAGCAGAGCCTAGAGAAGCATCTATGCATGGCTGTTTGTCCTTATACTAAGTGAGCACAGGCTTCTGTGATTTTGTAGCTCTTGTTTCTTTTCTCCATCCCTTTTTGGACTGCCTTGTTGATTCTTGCTACTTTAATGAGCCTCATTCAGTTTTTCTTTGTCCCTTATGAGCTAGGAATCATATAAACGATATTGGGAAACAATATAACATGGTGTAAAGAATACGTGTCTCAATTTGGTGCTATCACTTAATGTCTTGTCTCCTTGGGAGAGTTACCTGATATTTCTAAGCCTCAGTTTCCTCATCTATATAATGGAGTGCTTTCTGGATTTTCCCCAAAGGTTTGTGGATATGAAATGAGGCAATCTTTGTAAAGCACACATGGCTTGCTCAAGGAATGGTAGTGAAATACATGCTATTCTGAGGTTAATTTTGACAGGATTTCTGGCCTATTTAGTCTGAATGTGAGGACCTTACATGTGCAGTGAGATTCAGCAGGCTTTAGGAAATTGTTTTAGCCTGTCAGACATAGCATTTTAAATGCTTTGCTTGCTCTCCTGAGTATGTAATAAAACCAAAAAAAAAAAAAAAAATGTCCAATCTGGCTAAATTATGGGTTTCTGCAATGTGCAGGCTCAGATTTCTCTTCCCATTCCAGGCGTAGGCACTTGGTGATTCTTCAGGCCACAGCTGTTTGCTTTGGTTGCCTGATGCTATACAATGCTTATAACAATGAACACTGCCTGGGAGGTACTCAGGCACATCCTTCGAAGACCTGGGTGAATTCAAATAATGGAAATTCTTACTATCCTTTTGACTTCTCTTCCTCCTCAGAAACTTTAATCGTGATTTTTCTTTAATGAGATTTATCCATGGTGACTGTAAAATGTAATTGAATTCTTATCAGAGTTCAGTTAAGATTTATTCAGAGACCCTTGTTCAATATTGATTTCAGAGGTCAGCCCAGGCCTCAAGCCCCTCATGGATGTTTTAGCATTTTAATTTCTTCTGAACTTTCATAAGTCCAATAAGTTGCCACATTAGAAATATGGGGACTGGGAAAGCTGCGTGCATGTATCCCTCTTGGAACCAAAGCCCTTAGAACAAACACCTGCAATGGCATTCAAATTGCCTCTCATTCCATTGGTGGAAACTAATGTCTGAAAGAAAGACATCCTGTACAAAGCAGAGAGAGCCAGGCCCTAGGCCTCAGTCAGTGTTTTGTTTTATTTGTTTTTTAAATAGATAGCATCAGAACATTGAAGATAGTAGTTTATTCATTTCTCTGTAAAGACCACCCATGTTTGATGCTCTTGAGTCTATGGGGGAGACCAGTGTAATGTAAACTTAATTTACTCTTGCCTGAATTCATCAACTTTAAGTCATATTTAAGTTAAACATTTATATAATTTTGAGGGAAACTTTGTTTTAATGATTATTCATCTTTTCCTATATTCTCTTAAATCCTTAATCCTTGCACATACATATATATAATGAAACAAGCTTGACTCTGTACAGCATTGTAATTCTCTTAATCATTCTGTACATGCTTCGTTTTGCATTTCCTATTGATTGACTTCATATAAATATGCACATCGCTTCCTATGACTAATAATAATTATTTTTAACTTTTTTATCTGTTTAGTTTTATATGTTTACACACTAAATTTTCAAGCCATTTGCCACTAGAATGATATTGGATATTTTCTAATCTCTTGGAATTATTAATAGCATGCCTATAAATAAAATTTTTATATTATTTTATTTTTAATAACTTTCTTAATTTATATTACTTAGTTTATGGCAATTTGGAGAACATTTGCTAGATTTCTTCAGAAATATTTTTCAGTTTACAGAACCATCATAGTAATGAGACTGCATTTTAAACTATAATCTATTCACTATTGAAAATTTGTGTTTATATTTATTTAGAATCAATTTATTGAGTGCAGTATTTTAATTTTAATTTGTAGAATTATTAGCAAAACCAATGAGATGCTTTTCTACTTTGGTGATAGATCTCTTAAAATCTTAGCTTTGATTATTCTTATGGATTAAATTTAAGAACACTAAGCTTCCTTCGGAAGCAAATTGATAAAGATAGAATATATTGGTTCTAGTCCTTGCTCTCCTGGTGTGTCATTTAATTTCTGAGTACCAGTATTTACATTTATTAAAGGGAAATACTAACTTTTTTCCTGTCTTCAAAGAGAAGAAATGAGCAGGTTTATTTTGTACATCATGAAATTGTTTACTAATATAAGGGTTTGATTTGATTAATAGCATTATTGTCATTGCTTTTTCCCTCTGCAAATTTGATACAATTTAGAAACTCTCTAACTTTGGGGTAATTTCATAGCTGCAGTTTCTGTGGAAGTACCAAAATAAATAGATGCCATAGAAGAAATATGAAGACATATGTGAGAAGGACAAAGATTTTCATGCTTTGCTTAAGAATATTTTTATGTTGTTATAAGTCTGAAGAGTAGCAACAGAGCCTCCTACTTGTGTGCCCTTCTGCCCTGAAGGAGACAGGTTTACCCATAAGTGTAGATTTACAAACAGTTTCTGTGTTCTTAGCATAGCCAAGGAGTCTGTGCCTACAAACAGCACATCAGAGATTCTCAGCAAGCCTGTTTATGAAATGGCAGCCAAGGTCTTCCCCTCACCCAGGGCTCTTCCTCAGAGTGGAGCGAACCCAGCTCCTGGCTCTCCAGCAGTGGAAGTTGTGTAGACATTTTTATTAGAGTCAAGATCCAAGTGATTAAAAGGCCTCCCGAAGTAGGAGGCCAACTCCACAGGAGACTAAACACTTAGAGTTTCCTGAATTTGGCACATTAGTGGCCAACACTTGAGTGGCCCTTTGCTTCCTTATGTCACTCAATGGCTACAATTAAAGTATTCGATCTTTTCCACCTACATTAAGAGGTAGGTGTTCTACCTCTTCTGGAAAGTTGTTCTTTTTTTATGCTTAGGTTTTATCTAATAAAATGTTTTAAAGGCAGTTATGGCTAGGACTTTATGTGGGTGCTGGCAAATGAACTGAAAGTTCGGACTAAAGTCTGAAAAATCCTCATGAACTTTCCTCCTTCTCTTTTCTTGATTGCCCACCTCTGCTCACTCATCTCCAAGGAGTCTCTGTCTCTCCTTTCACATCACACACACATGCACATGCACACATTCTATATAATAAAAGCCTAGTATGCTAAGTGTCCAGTCATCCAGTTAGCCATTCAACCAATCAAAGTGTAATATGCTAATGGTATGCTAAGGCTGCTCAACTGCTCGCTATGATGTGCACTGACCGCCGATGGGCAGATAGTCAACTGGTTGGCCAGTTGCGATGATGTGCACTGACCACCAAGGGGCAGACACTCAATGCAGGAGCTGCTCCC